ATGGGCATGACGCAGCGTGCCAGAGGATGGCGAATGGCGCAATACTCTCTGGAAACAGTCAGAAGACTTCTGCGCCAGCCTGGAGGGCCGGCAACGAATCCATAGACCGCTGTCAGCATTTCAATCGCCAGCTATTCGTCGGGGTCCTCGCCAGGAATGAATGCCGCCCGCGGGGGGTGGTGCAAAAAACAACTCTTCCCATTGATGTTGGGACCCGTGAGTGGATGTCGACTTGACGTCGCCCACCCAAACATGCGACGTGGTAAAGGAAGGACACTGCAAAGCAAGGGGTACGTCTGATGCGGGCACCGTGGGCGCGGTGCGATTCAACGCGGCGATGTCGGGGTCGCGAAACCCATCGCGGGGTAGCATTGTAATTCCTTGGGGCAGCATGATCATTGAGCTTTTCGTCGCAATCCACTCCTTTATCTTTCCACTCGTCAAGCGCCGAGCGGAGATAATTCGCGCAGGCATTTGCGGTTGATCCCATCAGCAGCCGCGCCACTGTGGAAGCGGGCTGCTTCGGGGGAGGCAGTCTCAGCAGCGAAGATCCCGCGCCATTCTTTACGGCGGCCGCCGGTAGGGCCAAATGACCGCCGTTTAAGACGATCAGATATAATAATTTCATCCTCGGCCCGAGTTGTTCCAGATGAAGAACGTCTGAGAGGCATTGGTGAGAGAAGCCTCTGATTGACAGGCTGTGTAAATATGTTCCAGATCGGGGGCCTCGGGCGCCCCCGACGAATCATCTGTCACCTGAGCGTTGAGACAGCTGGCCACCTAGAGATTAACCAACTCGTCTCAGGAATCTGCAGAAGAAGAGCCAGGAGGTGCAATCGTAGTCGGCGCTGGCGGCGGCGAGCGCGACGACGCAATAGCGGGCCAAAGCGTGCCCGGGCCTCGAGCGGTGGCGCTGGAGTTTCGCCCCGGCGCCCCCGCCGCAGAAACCTGCCACTATCCTGGCTCGCTCTGCGGTTCAGCGGAGGAGGCCGCGTCTAAGCGAAGTCGAACTTGTCGATCGTCGCTTTGAGGTGCGGCGCGTGCCAGCCAAGGCTCGTTGAAACTTTCCGCCATGGGCGACACTGGCGGTTCTCCTGGTGGCAGCGGTTGTGGCCCCTGATCGGCGCCGACGTCAGAATCGACGGAAATGTCATCGGCCTCCGCCGCTTCAGGTCGAGTAGAGGCTCATTTCCTGGGAATCTCGGGCTTCCTTCTCTGGCGGCGCCAACGCAACGTCGAGCTCCACGAGTGCGCTCGAGATGATCTCTGAGGTCATGGAGGTAGCAATTGACGATGTCGATGCCTCTACTCTCGTCTTGGGTGGAACTACGCATGTTCGTTAGACACACGCCGCATCGATGCCCGCATATCAATCAAAACACCGCCAGCAGTAGGTAAAATGATCACACCAAGTCCAAACCACTCTTCTGAACCACCTCGTCCTTGTCCCCAAACAAGCGCGAATTGGCATTCCGTCAAAAGTCGGTGGCATGCGGTGTCTGGCGCGGAAAACTCGGAGCAGTCGGGTTCGGCTGCCCATGGCAGTTCATGCCGGCAGGGCGGCTCGGCGCAGCGATTCCGCTCGGTGGAAATCCCGTTCCGGATTGGTGGACAAAGCATCGGGGATCTAAAGGGCAATCGGAGGGCAGCGTCGCTGGCAGACGATGCGGGAGACCAAAACCCGACGCTGGTAACAGTTCCGAACAGAGCAACACATTTTCCCCATGTCCCCGGCTAAATGGAACTGGAGATTCCATTATTTTCCAGCGCGTTCAGCTCATCCGTCTCGCCATGTTCAGCGGGCAGCAGCAGGGGGCAATCGCGCGCCGTTGTTGCGCACGCGCTCGGCAAACTATACCTGGAACTCCGCTTCAGGATCAACTACGACAACCTCATGCATGCCAAACTCTCGCGCCCATGCACGTAGAAACGCATGCCGCGCTGCATCTGCTGACCCCCCCCGTCGGCGCGCGTCCAACTAACTGAAAAGAGGTGGCCCTTCATCGCCGCCACCAGGCTCGGCGCTGGGATCGCCAACAAGAAACTATCCAGGCCCGCCTTCTTCAGGAATTGCTGCTAAGGGAAGACTAAGTCTGGTGCTGTTCACTGAAAGTGCCCACTTGATCTAGGGAATCGCCCCAATGGCGTCCTCATCGAGCCCCGAAGATGACGCGTGGGCCCCATTGGTGATCTGCCGCAAGAGCAGTCGCCATCCCCCCCTGCTCACCTCGGCCGCTTCGACCGATCCCCGCGGAGAGGCGGACTGCAAAGGGCCGCCTGGAACGCCTCGAAGCGCGGCCGCGCGTCGGGCACATACTGGGCCAGCCCGGCTTACACGGGTAGCATCTGGAGAAATGAGTTGCACAACCTGAGGCGCGCGCGCAGGGCCCGGTCGGTCTCCTTGGCGCCCGGGCCGTCGGGCTCCAGCCCCCTGCCCGCCGCGAACCGCCCGCCGCCGCTGATCTTCGCACCTCGGGAGGAAGGTCGTGGGTCGCGAGGATGGCGCGCGGGTGATGCCGCCTCCTGACTCTGACCCCTGGCCCCCCCGAACAGGTCCTCGCGGGCGTCGGCCCCGGCGCGGGCCCCCGCGCGGCGCCGCCCAGCCGCGCGATCCACAAAAGGGGAATCACTTCTGACGATAATGCTTAAATGTCGACGCCCGCTTCTCTAGTGTCATCGCGGGCTGCCAGGATCTCGTCGGAGGTTGCGGCCGCGGCCCCATCTCGGCGAGGACGCGCCCCGCGCAGTTCGACGTTGCACAGGGCGTCGGGAGACCAAACAAATGGCTGGGAAAGAAAGCTTGACACGGCGCCCCCGGGCCCGGCAACTTGGCTGCGCCCCTGGGCCCCGGGAGAGATCCTTACGATGCTCTCATTTCTCTGCCGCGCTTCCTCGGAACAACCAGGAATGCTGTTCGCAGTGAGTTTGCCTGCCCCTGACCGGCGCACTCTCGACTGGCTGCCGTCGAGTGCTATCTCAGCGATGACGCCGCCTGGCCAAGCAAGAACCGCGCCAAGCTGCCCAAGCATCTCCACTTGGACTAATGAGGGCGCATCATAATCGAATGCGCCATGAGAACACGTCAGTTCTGGGCCACGGCAGTGGACAATGTCCAGCAGGAGAAAACTTGGTGGATCCTCCAACGCCCATGGCATCATTTTCGGGAGTCGGTATCTGCATGGGCCCCAGACCGATGGTGCCCCCATAATATTCTACCAGTTCCTCAAATTTATCTTCGCGGCACTGTCCGCGCTGACCTCCGGCACCCACCGCGTCGAAGCCCATGCGAACCCGAAGTCCAACGAGAGCGGGGCCTCCAGTGTCGGGAGGCTGGATCGCGCGTTCCCGTTGACGCGTGCCACGCAAAGCGCCATCTGATTCGGGGGGGGGGGGGCTTCTTGGAAGCCGCCGAAGCCGGCCTGTCGCTTGCGCCCTCGCACTTTGTGGCTCGGTCGCGCAGTCTCGAGCCCAGTGCCCCGTCTTCCCACGTCGGGCGCGCATCGAGCGGCTCGTCAATGTTCTGTTGGCCCACCGCGTGGGTCGGGCATGTCCCGGGCGTTTCCCTCGCAAATATTATTATTTTCGGGAGCCTTGTCTGGGGTTCCCCTTTGGGGTTTGCTGTTCGAAGAAGCCTCATCCAAGCTTCCGCTCGTGCAAGTGCTGTCGCGCCTGACTTGAAGTAGCAATGATCGATGGCCTCATCTTCATTCAGAACCGCATCGTCGGGCAACTCTCCAGCTACGAAGAGCGCCTCGTCATTGCCCATGCACTTGATGGCCTCATTCATGATGTCCTCGCCCTCCTAGGTCTCGAGGGAAGCGCACGAAGACTGGCGCATGATGATCCAATGGAAATGGTCGCGATCCGACTCCTGATCCTCGCATCCGTCATCATCTCCTTGCTATCCAGCACAATGCGACGAGGAACGAATGCCATGAAGACAATGGCCGCATTTGCCTGAAAATAATGGTCGCTCAAGCTTCCCCAAAGCTTTTCGCACGCCGAATCTAAATCGCAGGATCCCTCTGCCCAGTGCACAACCGTATCCCAAGCAACGTCAGCAAGCTTGGAATGCGACATCAACGCCAACTTCTTTTTGTTTACAAGACATCCGGCAAAATCATGTGCTTCTCGCGTGATCGAAAAATCAGGATTACACGCGATATAATTGACCGGGGATTCCTCTCGCTTGCGCGTGGTGTCTACTGAGTAGACAAGTGTTCGCGGCTTTGGTACTCGACAGAAACATGCTGGATGTGCTTCATCACGACCTGCCCGCCGCTCTCGGCAGACAGCTGGTCCTGAGTGAAATCGTGTATGGTGATATTGAGGTCGTCTTTGGCATACTCATAGACGATGATGTTTCCACGTGGTGCCATCAAATGTATGGTTCTGGCGAGCCACATCTGCAACTCAATCAAATCGGACTCTATGCGAATATCCAGAGACTTTCCCAGGTGGGAAGATGCAGGTCGCTTGGTATCTTTCGGGCTTCCGATTGTTCGGGAAATTGCTTCCGTTGGCGATCAGAAGACTGGGCACGGGTATCCCCCCGATCGGTTTGAACACTAGGGGTAAACAAACACACCCTGTTCGTGCATGCGTGTTTTGCCGATCTGGCGCAGCCGGCGAGACACGTCCCAGCCAAGTCCAACCTGAAGAAAATTGTTGCGTATTTGGCCGTGCCTCTGTCTAGGGTTGTGATAACCAGCGGGCCACATGCTGATCCGACGAACCCACGTTTTCATCACCTTCCCAAGGAACGTTTTCTCGTCCCCCAAGTCCTGCCAAAAGGATCCTGATATGGTTGTAACCAAAGCTTTGTTTGGAATTCGTCCTCGACAGTCGACTGACAGGGGAGTCGTCCTTCGTCCTGACTCCCCTCGTGAATATCAACAACAATCTCCGCTGCAACTGATGATTGTACGGGTGTGACTGTATGGATACAGAAAGACACAAGTACAATACGGGGACCCGTGCTAAAATAGACCTCGTTCTTTCTCTTTTTCACGGAGGCGTGGGCACGTCCATCACCGCTTCACCGGCGCGCCATGATAGCTCAAGGGCCCTTGTGAACCGATAAGGCGGCGCACAAAGGAGTACAGAGAGAGGTGCAGGAGGAGGAGAGGCCGACAGGGGTTCAGCAACAACAAACATGTATGCTTACGCTGATTTTCCTTCGTCGACAAGACGAGGACAACGTGAGAATCCTGGCGCTCAGCGCGGGCGGGGACCTGCGATGCTGGACAGGTCCCGGAACAGCTCGTGTCCCCAGTGCCTCGCCTCCGGGATCTCGGTGCGCAGCAACGACTTGGCCACCTCCAGCGCGCCCGCCAGCAGCACCTGCTGCCGCAGCTGCGCGTCGTCGCAGAACATACACAGCAGCACGCAGCCCATCTCGGCAATGCGCCCGAAGCTGGCGTGCCGGCGCACGGCGGCAACGACAACCTCTGGGAGGACAAAGACAAGCATGAAGGTAGATCTCCGGAGGTCCGCGCGGATTACTGGCATGCTCCGCGCGCCAGGGAGTGGAGTTCCAGCGTCGATCCAAGCAATCCATCTGCAAATTGCACGCTACCAAAACTGAACGCAGAAATTTCGGTGCCCGGCTTGGTCATCGTCCATCTTCGTCGTTGTCAACTCGTGGATATCGTCGAACGTCGTCGACGGCCGGCATGGAAAATGACCAAACTCGACACCGAAAAGATACCGCGACATCTTGGTCATGGCCATCGTGCTTTTTTGAGCAGGGACCGACCGTCCCCGCATTCCTATAGTCCTACCCCGAAATGTTCTGAGAACCCAAAAAAGTTCTAAGAACGAAACATCGTTCTTAGAACAGAAACCCCATGTGTTAAAACAATACAGCATCAACTAGAAATGTTCTAAGAATATTTCGTGGAAACCACATAAGTCACATAAGGTTCTTAGAACATTGTTTCGTGGGGCTATAGGCAAGCCAGGACGCTTCACCACTGCTCAAATCCTGGTCATGGGCATCGTGCTTCTTCCCTCGCGCGCACCTCCATGCCCCCGGCCTTCTGGCACGTGGAGGCCCGCCCGAGCGTGTCACACAGGCGGGTGAGAGCACCGAGGCCACCAGACTGCAGGTCTGGGTCCTGCGGGAACCGCTTCATGGCCTCGATGGCGGCCGAGATGCCGCCGGCGCGGACGGCGAGCGTCTTGAGCCCATTGTCGTCTTGGGAGATGCCCGCGAGCACGCCCAAGGCGCTGCGCTGGACCTCAACAAAAACAACAGCATAGGCATGAGCTTTCGGAGCTCCGCGCGGACTCCGTGGTTCGGCGCTGGGCCGCCTCCCCCCTCCCAGGCGAGCGGAGCGCGAAAGGGGAGGCGTCGGAGGCGCCAGCAAGGGGTAAGCGCCGATCCAAGACATCCGCACGGACCTCTGAAAGTGCATGTTGATCCGCCACAGTGCCTGCGAGGCAGGACATCACGGCACGCCCCCGGGGCGTCTTCCCGCATGACTCTTCCGGCCCCGCCAAGGCCCAAAGCCGGGCCAAGGAGACCCCAAGAGGCCCCCGACAAGCAACCAGGGCACAGTGGCGAGACACAGTTTTTTGCTCGTCGAACCTCGGTGTTCGTGGGCAGGTCCCGCATCGCCGCGATCACCAGGGCCATGCACGGCCCGAGCTTGACCTGGTCGTCGGGGACGTGGCGCGCGGCGGCGTCCAGCATCTGCCTGAGGATGGCCACCCCGGGCTGCTGCACCTTCACCTGGCCGGGGAAGCGGGCCATGCACTGCACCTGGAGGCATCCCCAATGAGGTTCGTGTAGGTAGGGTCGGAAGATCTCGCCGCATTGCAAGCGATGCATCGGCGACGTCAACATGAAGGACGTCGGGCTCCACGCCGAGCCGCATCTGCGAGGCATCGGCGATGCGGCGCGATCCTCGGACCCCATCTACTCGGACCCCACTTCGGGGGCCTGGAGCACCGCGGTGGGAAGCAGGATCAGCGCTCTTGCCGCGATCGAAGCATCCTCGACGAAGGCGGCGAAGGCCCCCAGGAGAGCCTGGACCACGGCCTTGTTGGGGGCCGGCGCCTTTTCGAACTGCTCCTTGAGCACCTTGGCGCAGAAGGCGACGCCGTGGAGCCTCTTCTCCTGGACGTGGGAACCCCCGTCTGCGGCGGAGTCCTCACCACTGGCCTGCGCGGCCTCCGGGAGGAAACCTCCTCCTCCTCCTCCTCCTCCTCCTCCACCTCCTCCCCATCGTTCCCTCCCTCCCTCCTCCCTCCCTTCGTCCCTCCCTCCTTCCCTCCCTCCCTCCCTCCTTCGTCCCTCCTGCTGCACGGACCTTTTTCCTGTGGTGTGCTCTGATCAGAACATCCAGTCGCATCCAGCAGCGGCGGGGGGAGGGCTCAAACGGAAAGGGTTTCCCTCCGAGTCAATCACATTGCTCCATCTCGCTTTGGCTGGCGCGCTTGAGGAGGAGGACCTTTGGGGATGGACAGACCTCCCTTTAGTAAAACGTGGTTTAGTGAAAACGACCTAAAGCCCAAACCTGGCGGGCGCAAGCCTGGAAAATAACGGCCGCGGCGCCCTCTCGAGAACCGAAAACGGACAATTCACCAATCGACGCGTCACTCCCGGGACCTGGGGAAGGGGGAGGGGGCGACGGGTCCCGCGCTTGCGAAAGAGGGCCCAGGGAACGGGGGGCACCAGCGACGGGCCCCTCGAGGAAAACGTGCGGCAGGTTCGCGTCGTGACTGGTCCGGCGATGGCGGTCACCAGATTGCCGCATCGTGCCATGGCGGCTGACTTTGGGCCGCTGGGAGACACACAAATAAATACACACAAATCAAAGGATCCACCATATTATCCTATATTTTGTGGATTTTTGTCTTCCCCCTCATTTCCCATATTTTCCCATATTTTCTGGGGAATCGAGGATTAATTGTGTCTGTTTGTTTTTTCCCCTCCTGACTTACACTCCCGCGCCAGGGTGGCCGCCTCGCCGGCACGACGCGAACTCACAGCACCGCTGCTCCACGAACCTCTCCCAAAATGCGCGCGCTGACAAAGACGCGACAACGATGAGAGCGAAGCAGCATCGGTACAGTACCTGAGTTTCCTTCTGGCGTTGTCGATACTGGGCCACGACGTCTGGTTTTTGATCCTCGGCCGTTTCGCTACGGACCCCGGGCGCCGCGAGGGCCCAGCAGAGGCCGAGCACCGAGAAAAACGCCGCCCCCATGTTTGCAGCACGTTGGAGGTCTGGGTCCTTTCCCTCCTCTTCTCCGTCTCGCTCTCCTTTTTTTGTTTTCTCTCTCTCTCTCTCTGTATATATATAGCGCTCTCTCTCTCTCTTTCTCTCTCTCTCGCTCTCTCGCGCTCTCTCTCTCGCTCTCGCAGCGTTAAGCAGGGACCGCCGATCCCGGCCTTCCTATCGGCCTCTACCACGACATGTTCTCAGAACCCAAACGTGTCCCAATCACAAAAAAAAACACGGCTCCTGCAACGCAAGCCCGAGATGCGCTGAAGCAGGACCGTCTCAGCCAGAAGCGTTCTCGGAAAAAGGTATTCGAACATTCTTCGGTGGGCCTATATAGAAGCCTCCATAATGGGGTCAGAGTAGATAGGGTCGGAGGATCGCGCCGCATCGGCGATGCATCGGCGATGCATCGGCGATACATCGGCGATGCACCGGCGGTGCGTCAACGACGTCGGCGATGCATCGGAGACGTCCGCGTGAAAGAAATCGGGCTCCGCATCGAGCCGCATCGGCGATGAATCGGCGATGCGGGGCGACCCTCCGACCCCATCTCCGCCGACCTCATCCAGGAGGCCTGGGCTGTGGGCGAGCCGGGCAACAACAGAGGCAACACGTCCGAGCGACTGGCCATCGCTCGGACGTCCATTTCCTGTGTTTTTGTTCGGTGTCGTGCGTGGTATTTTCGCCAACTGATCAAGGATGCTCCTCGATGGTCCTCACCGACGGAAACAATGCACACGTCCGAGCGACTGGCCATCGCTCGGACGTCCATTCCCTGTGCTTTGTTCGGTTTCGTGCGTGTTTTTTTGCGCCAACTGATCAAGGATGCTCCTCGATGGTCCTCGCCGACGGAAAAAATGCACACGTCCGAGCGACTGGCCATCGCTCGGACGTCCATTCCCTGTGCTCTGTTTGGTTTCGTTCTTGGTTTTTTCGCCAACTGATCAAGGATGCTCCTCGATGGTCCTCGCCGACGCAAAACTCGCCATCGCTCGGACGTCCGTTCCCTGTGTATTTTTCGGTTTCGTGTGTGGTTTTTTGCGCCAACTGATCAAGGATGCTCCTCGATGGTCCACGTCCGAGCGACTGGCCATCGCTCGGACGACCATTTCCTATGTTTTTTTTCGGTTTCGTGCGTGGATTTTTGCGCCAACTGATCAAGGATGCTCCTCGATGGCCCTCGCCGACGGACAAATTGCACACGTCCGAGCGACTGGCCATCGCTCGGACGTCCATACCCTGTGTTTTTTTTGGCTTCGTGCGTGGTTTTTTCGCCAACTGATCAAGGATGCTCCTCGATGGTCCTCGCCGACGGAAAAATGCACACGTCCGAGCGACTGGCCATCGCTCGGACGTCCATTCCCTGTTTATTTTTTGACTTCGTGCGCGGTTGTTTCGCCAACTGATCAAGGATGCTCCTCGATGGTCCTCGCCGACGGAACAATGCAAACGTCCGAGCGACTAGCCATCGCTCGGACGTACATTTCCTGTGTTTTTGTTCGGTTTCGTGCGTGTTTTTTGCGCCAACTGATCAAGGATGCTCCTCGATGGTCCTCGCCGACGCAAAACTCGCCATCGCTCGGACGTCCATTCCCTGTGCTTTTTGTTGGTTTCGTGCGTGGTTTCTGCCAACTGATCAAAAATGCTCCTCGATGGTCATCGCCAACGGAAAAATGCACACGTCCGAGCGACTGGCCATCGCTCGGACGTCCATTCCCTGTGTTTTATTCGGTGTCGCGCGTGGTATTTTCGCCAACTGATCAAGGATGCTCCTCGATGGTCCTCGCCGACAGAAAAAATGCACACGTCCGAACGACTGGCCATCGCTCGGACGTCCATTCCCTGTGTTTTTGTTCGGTTTCGTGCGTGGTATTTTCGCCAACTGATCAAGGATGCTCCCCGATGGTCCTCGCCGACAGAACACTGTACACGTCCGAGCGACTGGCCATCGCTCGGACGTCCATTCCCTGTGTTTTTGTTTGTGTATTTCGTTTGTGTGTGTGTGTGTGTGTGTGTGTGTGTTTTTCGCCAACTGATCAAGGATGCTCCTCGATGGTCCTCGCCGACGCAAAACCCGCCATCACTCGGACGTCCATTCCCTGTGCTTTTTGTTGATTTCGTGCGTGGATTTTTCGCCGACTGATCAAGGATGCTCCTCGATGGTCTTCACCGACGGAAACAATGCACACGTCCGAACGACTGGCCATCGCTCGGATGTCCATTCCCTGTGTTTTTGTTCGGTGTCGTGCGTGTTTTTTTGCGCCAGCTTATCAAAAATGCTCCTCGATGGTCCTCGCCGACGGAAAAAATGCACACGTCCGAGCGACTGGCCATCGCTCGGACGTCCATTTCCTGTGTTTTTGTTCGGTGTCGTGCGTGTTTTTTTTCGCCAACTGGTCAAGGATGTTCCTCGATGGCCCTCGCCGACGGAAATATGAACACGTCCGAGCGATGCCCCCCGCAGGGTCGGCGCGGCGCGCCTGGCCACGGGCCTCTTCGCCGGGGCCGGCGCGGACCTGCCCCTTTCCTCCGGGGGAGGAGCGGTTTCCTACTCCTCCTCCTCCTCCTCCTGTTCCTCCTCCTGCTTCTCCGCCTCCCCCTCCTCCTCCTCCTCCCCCTCCTCCTCCTCCTCCTCCTCTTCCTCCTCCTCCTCCTCCTTTTGCTTCTCCTCCTCCCCATCCTGCTCCTCTTCCTCCTCCTCCTCCTCGTCCTCCTCCTCGTCCTCGTCCTCGTCCTCGTCCTGCTCCTCCTCCTATGCCGAGGCCCACCGAGGGTGGCCGGGGGAGGCCGGAAGGAACGGTCAGGTCGCTCACATGATGTAGCACTTCGCACCGAAGACGGAGCGCAGTCAATCCGTATAGTAGGGATGCGGGATAAGGAGGCAAGGGCTTTGGATGTCAATTTCGAAGCTTCCCGGACGGGGCACAGCCAACGGAAATGGTCAAGGATAGACCGGAGAGGCAAGGATGCGAGGGTACCGTTGGGAAGGTTGTCCATCCTCACTCTGCGGGTTGACTGTACCCTGCGCGTAACTTGGTACGCGGCGTACCTTGTCCGCGGCGCTGGAGACGTCGCGCGCCCCTTGTATTCGGAAACGCATGCTAGAATACCATTGTCCGCAACTTCTGGTGGGCCGATCTCGCCACGATTGTTGCGCCATTCGATTGTGGACTACGTCGAACAGGCTCTCGTCGCGGAAAAGGCTGAAGAAGAAAAGGCCCCGAGGAAGTAGAATTGCTCGGGAACGACATACTGTTTCATCGGGCGCGGCGGGCCGCCCGTTGAGGTACTTGTCGTTGGGCTCAACGTTGGCGCTCCGCCCTCGAGGCCAGCGCGGCGCCTCCGGCCATTGACCCCGTTAGCTCGGGCTGGCGCCCCTGGTCGTAGTCCTGCGTAGTCAGGTACTTCAGCATGTTCTCCCAAGCCGGCTAGTTTTGCTGGTGGCTCTCGTAGATCAGGCGGTGGCCCTCGTCGCCCTTGCAATTCAACTTGCCGCCCTCGTAGCTCTGCGACGAGGGGCTCTCGCACTTCTGCTTGTGGCCCGGGTAAAATGCGGGCCTCGTGCCTCTGCAGGTGGCCCATGTCCCGCGTAGCTGGGCTGGTGGCCCTCGGAATTCTGCTTCTGGGGCTGGCAAATCGGGTCGTCGCCCATGGCAGCTCCCCCGGTCGTCCGCGCAGGTCTCAAGAGCTCGTCGCGCGGCCCTCGTAGCTCAGCCGGTTGCTGTCCAGGCCGAGCACGCGCCCCGCGCAGTTAGGCCCGTCGCCCTGGTAGCTCCGCGGAAAAAAAACTTTCGCAATCCTGCTTGCGGCCTGCGTGGCTCGGGCTGTGGTCCTCGTAGTTTTTCGCTTGCTGTTGCAGGGCAGCTGCTGGGTCCAGGAGCGTTGCTTCTAGTCCTTGCCTTCAGCTAGTCGCCGTAGTAGTCGTTCTGCAAAAAAACGCAAG